AGGCGGGGGCCGGCGGGGCGGGCGGCAGGGCGCGCTTGCGGCTGCCGCCGTTGAACATGGCCTTGACGTCCTCCCAGGCGAAGACCAGCTCATCCTGGGGGCTCTTGTCGGTCAGCTTCAGGTGGCGGCGCCAGGAGTTGAAGTTGGCGGCGTCGGGCTGGGTGTACTTGGCGTCGGGCGTGCGGTGGGAGTGGAAGATGAACTTGTTGGGCGAGAAGTACATGCTGCAGTAGCTGCACTTGATGCACTTGGCCCGGGAGCTGTTGTAGCGGGCCGGGATGAAGCTCCCGCGGCATCCCCAGGCGCACTCGTGGGACACGTCGAAGGCGAAGTTATCCGGCAGTTTGGGGGGCCGGTTCTCCCCCAAGAAGGACTTGCAGAGCCGCTCTGCCTCCCTCTTGGTGATCATGCCGCAGCGGCGGGAGGAGATGGGCATGGCCCCGGCCCGCCGCAGGATCTCCAGCTGCACCGGCGTGCACTGCACGCAGGTGATGCCCAGGGCCACCCGCCGGTTGTGGATCTCGTTGTAGCTGAAGTTTTTGAGGAGGGTGTTGGAGATCTGCGCCAGGCACAGCCGCTCCTGCCCGTCGATGACCAGGGAGACGATGGGGATGCCGTAGAGGATCACCTGCCCCACCTGGTTGGGCTTCATGGCGGCGTGGCCGGCCCTCGGCTGGCTCATGGGGTCCGGCGGGTACGCGCTGGACGGCGACGGCAGCAAGATATCGGTGGGGCCGGGCAGCGGGCTGGTCGCCATCGTCTCAGCGCCGGGGGGGCTGCTCTGCTCTAGCTGCGGATGGGGAAGGGGACAGAGACACAGCGCCGTCAGCCCAGCGCTCACAGGGATGGAGGTCCCCGCCGCACGCACCCCGTCCTCCCCCCGCTGCTCTGCTCTGCCGGCATGCGGAGGCGCTTCCCGCGGGGGGCTTCTCTCAGCGACCCCGACCCCCTAAACCTCCTCTGTCCTCTCCGGGGGTGCCCCCGGAGCCGTCCGACCCCGCGCATCCCGGCTCTCCGACGTGCGCATCCCAGCGCAGGAGCGGAACCGGCGGCGCACCATCGGACCGTCCCCGTTTGGAAGAATCCCCGACCCCAAACACTCAGCAGAGACCCGCGTCCGCCTCCTCGCCCTGCAAACCCGCCGCCGGCACCCGGCAGGGCTCCACGCCGAGCCTCCGTGGGCACACGGCCACCGAGGAGAGGTCGCCCCCCGCGATGGGCAAAGCACGGAGAAAGAACAAAAAAAAACCCCCCAAACTTTCGGTGCTCCCCGCGGCTGCCCGGCGCCCGTTACCTCCGCGGCCGCTCTCCAGCCGTGCCGCCGCCGGACCTTCCTCCTCCTCCTCCTCCTCCAGCAGCCGCCGGCAGGGAGGGAGGGAAGCGCATCCCCGCGCCCGCCGCCGCGGAGCCGCCAGCCGGACAGAGCCCCCCGCCCCCGGTGCGGCCCCCGTGGGCGCTCTGACGTCAGCGGCCCGGGGGGGGGACGGGGCCGGACCCACCGCACGCCCCCCCGGCCGGTGGGAGGCGAGCGGGGCTGGGGGCGGCTCCCCCGTCCCCGCTCCCGTCCTCCCTCCCTCTCTCCCTCCCCGCACCGGGAGGGGATGCGGGCGCCCCGTCGGGGCCCGGCCTCCCGCCGCCGCCCCCCGAGCGCTGCCCGGCTCCGCGCTCGGCTTCCCGGCGAGAGGTTTCCACCGGTGGAAGGTGGAATGCGCTTTGGCTTTTTTCTTTTCTTTTCTTTCTTTTATTTTTTTTTTTTATTTTTTTTCCTTTTTTTTTCGCCCTTCTCTCTTCCCTCCGCCCCTTCACGGTCTGAGACAAATCGCTTCCGCGAAACTGAACATTCTCCCCGTCTACCCCGTTTTTGAAGGGATCGGGAGAAAATACAGGAAAGAGAGAAAAAGTTGATTTCTCGCCACAGCCGTGTCCTCACCGGCACGAGCAGCTTCTGCGTCCTCACTGCCATTCCCAAATACCCCGGAGTCATTCACCAGAACCACCTTCACAAGCAACCCGGGCCCAGATTCTCGCTCCCACAAAGACCAATACGGCGCAAATATGTTCTGCTCGGGTTTTTTTTTAACTTTTCCCCCTTCCCCCCAGTTGGTTTGTGTCCCCAGCTAAGGAAAAAAGAAAACAAAATAACCCCAGCAAACAGACTGCAGAACGGCGGCGGTTTCTGCTTTTTTTTTTTCCTCTTTTTTTTTTCCTCCTCTTTTTTTTTAGTGAATACAGTGAACTGAAAATGTAGATTTTTTTTTACACGAATCACTTCCAAAAGCTTGTGGGTCCCAGCTCGCTCTCTGCGCAGCACTGGGAGAGGTCGGGGCGACCCCGCCGTGACTCCCCAGCCCAAGGCAGAAGGCCAATACCACTCAACGCCGCTGCTTTCCAAGGAGGAAAACGGCAGAAAAACGGCTAAACCCCGGGAAAATTAAAAACTCATTCCTAGCCAAAAATGGGGAGACAACTGGACCGTCAAGTGTTTCCTAATACCCTTCTGATTTATTTTCCTTTTACAAGAATATCTGTACCTCTCTTTTTCTATCCATGTGCACGACCAGCACTTAATATTTCTGCACATTTAACTATGACAATTTGATTTTTTTTTGTCGGTTTGTTTTTTTTTTTCCCTCGGGCATCACAGATCCAGACGGAAATCTCCACACCGACCTTTCCCAGGACATCCGCACTAAAGCTCACACCTTCTCCTAACCGGGTATTGCTCGGGTCCTTGATGATGATGATAATAATAATAATAATAATAATAATAATAATAATAATAATAATAATAATAGTACGTCTCTCCTTATTACTTCTGTCACTTCTTATTAAACCTCACTCTTCCCCATGTCGCAACTGTCACAGGGAGACTTCCCCTTTCCCCTCCCTCCTACTTTTTCCCCGATCCTCTTCTGCACGGAGCCTGCTGCTTTCGTGTGAGCAATGGCTATAAGCCTCGCATTGGTGACATTTTAATCAATGCTTCCTAGCCAGACTGACATGAATTTTACACTTCAAAACTCTCCTCCGTCAGCTAATTGATTCAAATTGTTTTATTGGTTAAACCCGTGTCACACACTGTATGATCTATTACCACGCCTCGGAGAAAATCTCCCCTCCTGTCTCCGCTCCCAGGTCGGCACCAGGAGGGACGGGGGGTTTTAGGGAGCAGCCGCTGCATCCTGCAGATGCTCAGGATGCTCAGTGCCTGCATCCCCGCGGCGGCACAGCGCGCTCCCCTCTGCCGCGGTCACTCGGCGGCTTTTCCCGACCATTCCCGGGAGAACCGGGGCTGGGCAACTTCGCCCCAGGCTCTGAGCCCGGCGCTGGAAGAGGACGGGGGAGGCAAAAGGGATGAAGGGGTTTTGCAGAGCACCTTCAGCGAAGGAACAGGGGGAAAACTCAGGCTCGGGACAGGGTCGTCTCTAGCTAGCGACGAATACGTTCTATTTTGTGGCGACTGAACGAAAAGTAAAACTAAACTGCCTTTTTTCTTTCCTTTTTTTTTTATTTTTTTTTCCTTTTTGTCACCTGCTTGGTGCCGTTGGCCCTCCTTGATTCCGTTGTATAAACTGAGCCTCTTCCCCCGTTCCCTTTAAAGGGAAAACCCAAACCCACGGGTCGGGATGTCTTAGATCCCGGAGGGAGGAGGTGCGAGGGCCACCGAATTTGGGGCAGAGACTGGCCCACACCAGCACCGTGGAGAAGCGGGGCAAGAATGCCCCGTTCTCTACTTTTTCTCTGCTTAAGCCTGCTGGGAAACCTCGTGGGGTGGCGGGACCTCAGTGCGGGCGTGGCGGGGGTGGCTTGGCAGGGAAAGGCTGGCCCGCGCAGCATCCCGCAGGTGTCCCCAGGCGGGGCTGCTCGGCCGGGGGTCGGATGGATCCCACCCTGACCACGACGAGGGGCGGAGGGGAATCCCCACTGGATGTGGGGTGCCCACACTCCTCCTCACGGCCGGGCGCAGACCTGGGGGCTCCTGTCCTGGTGTCGACTCCAATTCCTGCCGCTCATTTCGTTGCTCGCTGTTGCCACTTGGCTCGGAGTCGCCCCTCAAGAGAGGAGTGGAAAAGGTGGAGAAACTTCTGGCAGAAGCCTGGAAGGGCTAAGCAGGAGTCCTGGCTCCTTTTCCCTCTTCCCTTCTCTGCCTCGGAGGGGGCGAGCGGGAGCCGCTCGTTCTCCCGCCGCGGATCGCTTCCCGTGGAAAGGAACAGCGGGGAAAAGCGGCCAAGTTTAAACCACCCCAGCCCACCCTCGTGGCCTTTACGTACTTCCAGAGCGCTTAAATATTGTAGCAGAGAGGCCGCGAGAAGCGAGGTAACCTCGGTGCGTTTAAAAAACCACAAAGAAAACCGCCCCCGACGCGAACCCATTCCCTCCTCCCACCTCTCCACATCCCATTGAAACTTCCAGCCGTGTAAGTAGCAGACATGCAAGGTATTGATATAAAACCTCTTCTAACAAAATTTAGACAGCAAAGTTTGGTTTTGGTTTGGCGCTTTTTTTTTCTTTTTTCTTTTTTTTTTAAATACTTTTGTGTAGATTTCGCTTGCGTTGCTTGGTCTAGAGCGAAGCTCTTTTCTAAGTAGTTTTTTTTTTTAATCGCACTTTATTATATTAAGCAGAAAGGGCATTTGGAATAGAGGTGGTCCCATCTGGAAAACCCCGGAGCTCATTTAGATCACATCACTTCGGGCTTTTGTCTCTGCTCTTGAATTACCCAGCTAGACACAACAAAAGGGTAGAGATCCCTACGTGGAGTTTTTTTCAGTGGCAAAAGGACGCCTCGGAAAGATGCTTCCATATTCGTAAAAACGAGGGGGGAAAGGACTAAACGGGATCTTCTCTTGGCTCTCGAAAGACACCGGGAGAGTTCAGGGATGGGGCATTTTTAGATAGTTTTTTACCCCACCGGTGGCTGAAAACCAGCGCGCCGGCTGAAGGGAAGGAACCGAGAACGGCACCTTTTGTCTGATGGAGGTCTCTTAAATTCTCAGTTTAATGTGCTCGGAGCGACCCAAACCCGGGACGGTGCTCGCCGAAGGTACGTGCAGACCTCAGCCAGGAGGGGAGGCTGCCCGCCAGCCCCCCAGCATCACTCACCCGAAAAAAAAAAGCGATTTATCATTTTATTTTGTCCTACGGGAAGGGGCTGGCAGCCCGGGAGGAGATGGGCTCTGCCTAAGCCTCCATTCAAACACACGAGGGTGATTCTTGCTGCTCTGCCTGAGGATGGGGTGGCAAGGAGGAAAAGAGCTGCAAGTTTAGGTGTGCGTGAATTAACACCCCAGGGAGTGGTGGACTTGGGGAGGGGAAGAAAGATCCCAAACGAAAAAAAGACACCTCAGCTATTGATTTTTTTTTTTCCCCCAAACGCATAAATTAAAGAGCTCTGAACATTTGCATCAGAAACGTGCCAGCTCCGAAGTATTTGAACGAGCAACAAATTTCCACGGTGGCGAAGCAGGGCCCCAGTCGGGCTGTGGTGGGGAGCAGCGATCCCAAACTTCCGAGAGAAACGAAGATGACGAGGAGTCATCACGTCAGTAAATAATTCAATTTTGCGTCTTTCAGAACCCAGTAACCTTGGGTGTCTTAGAAAGCAGATTGTACAAACAGGCAATTAAGATGAGCACAGAGACTTTCAGAGGAGATATAATGAACCAGCTTTAATTACTATCTTGAAATTAAAAATGTAATATACAGATTTAAATTTATTTTCACCTAAATTGTGTATAAAATTATATGGCGTTCCCT